GGTTTAAATAATGGCGGTTATTTCCTATAAATGTCAGTTAATGTCAACTACAGACCCCACAAATGCTTGACCATTCAAGGCATTATGAGAATGAAGCGACAGCAGCCAGACCGCCAAACGATGTGACTGTGCCGACAAAAGCATAACAATCACACACACACACGTCCCTTCAAGCATCATTAAAGAGGTAACTCAATTATGTTAGACTCTTTTACATTCACTAACCTTTCAACTTCCTGTAAGCCCATCTCGGACTNACGACAAAAGCATAACAATCACACACACACACGTCCCTTCAAGCATCATTAAAGAGGTAACTCAATTGTGTTAGACTCTTTTACATTCACTAACCTTTCAACTTCCTGTAAGCCCATCTCGGACTGGGCCCAAAAGGCTCAACCAAAAGGCGAGGCTCTAGGCCCAGCTTGGATTAGGTCCAAAAATAAAAAATTAGACCTCAAGACCATCTTACATAGGGTTCAATGAGCTTCCCAATAGTGTAAGCCACCAATTTTAGCCCATACAGGGCCCAACAACAGACATCAACAAAATTAAACACAAGAAGATGCGGAAAGGAAAAAGACTGTACAAGAAAAAGCTTCTCATTAAAGAAAAAAAGGGGCATTTCATGTCATTACAAAAAAATGAGCTACTAAGTTGCCTCCTTGGGTAGTTCCATTGAATCAAAGGCATTGGCAACCTTTTTAGAAGAGCCTACAATGTCCCCCATGATTTCTTCAGCCAAAATAGGTAGCTCCTTGGTGGCAACCTACACAAGCTCCTCTCTTTCCTGTCCCAGCAAAGGCTTGTTGTTCACCCCCTCACCATCACCTTCTTTTTTATCTCCTCCAGCCACCGATGTTGCATCATCACTAGGTTTGAATTGGGAGAAATCCAAGTCTGGGAACTTCTTCTAGACCCATTTCTTGAAATCCTCAAAGCCGTCTACATAGTACTCCAGTACTTCCTCTCTAAATTCTTGGGAGTCTAGGTACTTTGACACTATAGTTTCTCTAATGAACTTGATCTTGAACTTCTTTTGCTCTAATATGGTTGAGAATTCAAGTACCTTTTGAGAAAGGGTTTTCTTTTCACCCTCTAAGTCCTTGTTNCGAACTTGATCTCGAACTTCTTTTGCTCTAATATGGCTGAGAATTCAAGTACCTTTTGAGAAAGGGTTTTCTTTTCACCCTCTAAGTCCTTGTTCCTCATAGAAAGCTTGGTGGACTCTCTCATGATATTGTTCAACCTAGTCAGTAGCTCATTCTTGGCCTTCAAAACCTTGTCTCTATCTTTCTCAACAATAAAAAAGGCGGCTAGAGGTCTTCTTAGCTTCTTTCATGAGCCGGAGGACATCTTCCCGAGCTGACCTTAGCTCAGCATCTCTCGCCTCCAATTGGGAATGCAAGGACTAAAATTCCTCCTTGCAAGCCTTCTTCTCATCCACGATGGTGTGGGAAAGGCTAGTAATAAGGATGACAAGCTAAAAGAGAAGGAAAAGAAATTAAATCTAGAAGAGGGGGGAAACAGCTTTAGAGTTTTCAGATGTCTTACCTTCCGAATGGTGAGGGTTAGATTCTTTGTTACCTAGGATGGCCCTAGGTCAAAGGTAGCATGTACCTCATCCTTATGCACAAATTATTGAAGCTGATCCATTGCTTCTTCCATAGTGTCCCTTGTGTTTGACGGTGTAACTGCCAAACTCATAAGAGAAGATGGAATAGTGCGATGTTTCTCCTCAGCAAGTTCTGNCTGATCCATTGCTTCTTCCATAGTGTCCCATGTGTTTGACGGTGTAGCTGCCAAACTCATAAGAGAAGATGGAATAGTGCGATGTTTCTCCTCAGCAAGTTCTGAAGTCTTATCTTTCCCTTTATCTAACAAAGGGCAAGGGGAACTTCAATTAAAGGGACACCCAAGAGATGTTCCACTAGTTTGAAAGTGCCATCTCAATAGATTCCAGCTAGAGTGGTGCCATGTCCCGAGGCAGCGTTAGAGATTGAGGGAGACACCCACAAGGCATTAGAGCTTGGGGATGTCCCTTTGCCCTTGAAGAAGGACACCCTTTGCCTCTTTCATAAAGGAGGGATAGCNAGCCATCTCAATAGATTCCAGCTAGAGTGGTGCCATGTCCCGAGGTAGCGTTAGAGATCGAGGGAGACACCCACAAGGCATTGGAGCTTGGGGATGTCCCTTTGCCCTTGAAGAAGGACACCCTTTGCCTCTTTCATAAAGGAGGGATAGCCTCTCCTAGCTGCAACCTCTTGAAGGGACTTCTTGTCAATTACTTTCGGGGCAGAGATGAAAGAAAAGGACAAATTAAAAGCATACCCAGGCTAGAGCAAATTGAGATAAGGCAGAAGAACTATACCTTTAGAAGAAAAGGCCACTATAGCCAAAGAGTTGGAAGTGCTTGGAGGAGGACCCAGTAGACACTCGAAGAGGGCTTGATCACTTACAAGCTCGGAGAGATCTTTCATAGGGTAGTCGAGCGCCTTCTTGACCCGAATTTGCAATTCGGAAGGTAGAGGATTTGATTTACATGCATTCCAAGAGAGTAAGGAGTGAGAATTCGATGAAAATCATGGGAAAATCCATGCCAAAGGGAATCTATTTCAAAGAGAAGGAATAAGAGACCCCCAGATATGAGGGGTCAAAAAGTAGTCATTTGAAGGAGCCTTAGAAGGCCCAATTTCCCAACCAGGGCCAGACACAAAGAAGAACTTATCTTTCCACTCCTTCACGTTTGAAGAGTAGCCTATTAGTAAGCTTGGACCCTTTCTCTTTGAGAGGTAAAACCACCCTAGGCCTTACCTAAAGCAAGGGGTGAGTTTGTAACATTCCATAAGCTCAGCAAAGGTATGTTGTATGTTGATGCCATTCGCCTTGGCCCAAATGGCGCCAATACCAATCAAAAATCCCTAACTGTTAGGGGTTAGTTGGGCCAAACTGAATTCAAAAGGTGGAGTGCCTCCCTAACATATATGGCATTGAAAAGCAGAGCCTAACTTCGAGAATAAATTCATAGAAGTAGACTTCATTGGGGAGAAAGAATTAGCAGTCTCGCCAGTAAAAGGGACCCTAAAGTACACAATGTCTGGAATTCGATATAAAGCCTTAATTTCTTGAAGGGGGTACTCATCCAAGCAACTACTATAGTTCCTAGCCCCCATAACTCTTAAGAGACAAGGAACCAATCTGCAATATGGAATCAGAGTCCTCGTTAGTCGCGTCGGCCTGGGCCACTAGCGTTGGAATGCTCTCAGAAGGGGAATGTTCAGAGTCAATCGCCATAATCAAAAAACTACGGGATTGATATATAAATTTGGTGGAAGGGGGTGATTAGGACTATTGACAATCAAGAAAAGGCAAAAATCAAACACAGGTTTAAGTCAAAGTACTAACAGACTTATTTACAAAAGACTCCAAACAATCAAGGTTGAAGTTTCTCCACCTAAGAGACCAAAAACGGTAGAAATGAAACTAAAAGGTATGAATCCAGCCTAGGCGCTCCAAAATGAAGAGTTATAATGAAATAGAAAGACGGAAGGAGATGGGCACAAAGCGTCGAAGGCGTACCAAACTTCTTAAAGCTCTCGAAGATGTGCAAGACAACAAAAAAGGAGAAGGCTTTATGTGCCGGACCCACAACGGCTCTTTGGTAGTTACGTGCTCAAGGCTAACAATCTCACCTTTCTAACTTCTAACAAACAAGGGTATTGAATGCATGACAAGTTCTCTCCACTAGTCTAAATTAGGGGGCAACTGGTGAACATAAATTAGTGAGGATCTCTACTGCCCAATAGGTTAGCTCTGACAAGGACCCAACTATTAGCTCGCCGGTAATTCAACTTGGTAACAAGTTCGCCACATTGACCAATCACACTCAATTGAGATACCCACATTAAAAGGCGTCAGCTTCAATTCCACTGCTGATGCCGCCTTATTCAAATAGTTGCTAAGGACCTCTAATGGTCTCCTTTGACCTATAAAACTAGGAACAGTCCAGGTAAGTAATCATCTCCCAACTAAATACAATTTACTTGATCNTCATCTACCCTAACCAAAATTTTGTACTAGTAGTAACTCCTCAATCCCAACAAACAAGAGAGCCCAACAACACTTTGCGTTGAGTATAGTGATTTTGCCAAATCATTTGTGCTACAAATTTGCTCCCAATTTTGGTTGGTGTAAAATTTCTGAAAGACTAATCAACGGAAAGACGTGCAGAAAAAGAATAGAAATCACAGCAATTGCAGCTGCTGATGATGTAGTTAGTCAGTGGTGATGATTGCATCAACATTACAGACCAAGTAAGCAATTGATGACTAATCAATGACTGATTCAATTCTCCGCTTCCATATTATATCTTGTAGTGGACCCAGATCAGATAACAATAAAATCCAAGATTGGAAGTATCCCAACCCAAAAAGTGTCCTGCGATCACCTAACACCAAACACAAGCTCATCCTCCAAACACAACCTATACACTGATGCCTACCAACAATAGGCTTGTTAGCTCACTGCAATCACCTGCCGAGTGGACCATAGAAACACCAGGCCCTGGAAAACAGCTCAATAGTAAAACCTAGCACATCAGCTGGTGCTCAGCTCAAGTTTTGCATCTGGCTTGACATTCCACATTCTGCTCGACTAGATCAAATATTTGGTGGCTTGGTCTATGGAAGGACCAAGTTATAAGCAATGCAGCATTGATGTAGATTAAGCATCCACGCCCCCAGGACAAAACAAATCTGGAAGTTCTAAAACAATATACAATATAGCATTTGACAGCAAGTAGTCTAAAAGTTTATGCTATGATCCAACACAGAATTCATCTTAAAAAGCACAAAATAATTATGAAACGGGACTGGAAGAAACAAAACCAAACATTAAAGCATCTTTGATACAAAAGCTATTTGAGACCAGCAGGGTNTAGAATTCATCTTAAAAAGCACAAAATAATTATGAAACAGGACTGGAAGGAACAAAACCAAACATTAAAGCATCTTTGATACAAAAGCTATTTGAGACCAGCAGGGTNGAAGTGACCCTTGATCCAAAAAGCCAGCCTGCTCCTCGAGGACTGACTGCCCATGTTTCAATATCTTCAGGGTCACTCCACATGAGATCGCAGAAGGGCCCTTCATGGGGAATTTCACAATTTCGCTCAATGACCCTAATCTGCTAAGTAAAAAAGGGAAAACAAGACTAATTGCAGCCTCATAGAGTTCATAGTAAATTTCTTGAATCAAATAAAAATGGTTTTGTGAAAATGAATAGAAGATTGCACTAAAAATGTCAACAAATACCACCACGTTCAAAATCAAGGGGGTGGTTTGTGTCAAATGAACAAGCCATGCCCATTTAAAACTCCCAAAAGTCATATTTAAAAAAGAAAACTGAATGGACCCCAAGAATCCATTTATGCTCATTATCATTCAGTAGGCAAATAAATACCCATATAATATATTTGCAATATGCATAGTTTTATTTTGTTATCTTTGATTTTTTGGTGGCTCAGAATATGTATAATGGAGGTGCAAAATAAACCAATTAAAAAAAATGTTGCACTGCAAGCAAACCTTAGTCGTTGTGTGCCACAGTATGTGCAAAATGTTTAGTTTTATTTGTGGAAAAAAAACTCCAAAAAAAAATTGTTCTTCATCAGTTGCCAAAAATGCAGCGCGAGGCACTTAATCCCACATAAATCAGGCAACAGAAAAAAATCATTTTTATGAAAAGAAGCAAAATAAACCACAGCCTTAAAGAGATTCAACACCTTTATTTTGTTATTGGTGGTTCAGAATATGTACAATGAAGATGAAAAATAAACCAATTACAGAAGTGTAGTACAGCAAGGCAAACCTGGTCAATAGTTCTAATGTCAGGAGAAAGGCCACCATGGACACATAGTACCTAGAATTCCAAATAGGCGTTATAAAACATGCAAGAAGAAAATGTTGTGTCACAAGCGCGCGCGCACACACACAGAGACACAGAGAGGGCATACTGTTCCATCTATAATTGCTGACAGAGTTAGNGTCACACTGAAGCACTGGGCTGCATTTCATATTCCACTATTAACAACCCCCATGTCCAGGATTCCTCCAAGAAAGTATATTTCTTATCCACTCTATCACCCTGTTGGAAATAGCGCCACATCAAGTGTGGGAAAAATCTCACAACTGACAGCTAACAAATCCCACTCATAAGAAATACGGTACTCCTGTTCTGGGTCCTCTCATCTGGTTATTTTCCTCTGTTTCAGTGAAGAACTTGACCTCTCTCTCCTAATAGAATCATCAATAATCAATGTTTACAAAAAACATTAAAAAAAAGCACAAGACGGACAAAAAAAATAAAAAATTATCAAGATGTACAAGATATTGAGAACTTAATTGGAAACAACCAAAACATAAACTAAGAATGATCAGTTGCAGAAATTAAATGCAGCCTTTGTAAAAGTGTGCAGTTGAATTCTTTCTTGTCTTTCCCTTTTCAAGATTTTTCTTTTTTGAATTTTTTGGGTGAATTTTTTTTTTCTGGGGCATCAACTAGGCCCAAGGGCCAAAGGCATATCGCTATTCTATACAAAAATCCCATCATCCATTACCTGTATGAGGTACAATGGTCCCATATCACTAAAAGAATTAAGTCAGTCTTGCCAAAACCCCAAAAAGATTCAATCATTTAATTATGGCACAGTACATGCTTACTATATAACAGCAATTGGATTTAATACTGCTGTACCCTGCTTGCGAAGAATGAAATAAATAAAGCATTAATATCTGGTGCTGGTACCATATTCTCATTGAAGCTCAATATTGAAGCCACATTTCCACAACGGTAACAATAATTTGGCGCAGACCACACCTGCAGAAGCCAAGAAGAAAGGGTAAAACCTATCTCGCATATGACAAGATTCTAGGGCTTGAGCCCTATCATATGAACTTTGTAATATTGAATAGCCAACTCACAGTTACAAGTCCTTTATCTTGGAACATGTATTTCAAACCTTCCTGAACAAGTTGGTGGGCCCGGCAAACCAGATCCAGTTTGTTGATATGATTAAACTGCAGAGAGCACATATCAGTTTTAGAATGTAACAAGGCAAATAATTAAAATGACCATCTTTCCTCACCTCAGAAGTGACCCTTGATCCAAAAAGCCAGCCTGCTCCTCGAGGACTGACTGCCCATGTTTCAATATCTTCAGGGTCACTCCACATGAGATCGCAGAAAGGCCCTTCATGGGGAATTTCACAATTTCGCTCAATGACCCTAATCTGCTAAGTAAAAAAGGGAAAACAAGACTAATTGCAGCCTCATAGAGTTCATAGTAAATTTCTTGAATCAAATAAAAATGGTTTTGTGAAAATGAATAGAAGATTGCACTAAAAATGTCAACAAATACCACCACGTTCAAAATCAAGGGGGTGGTTTGTGTCAAATGAACAAGCCATGCCCATTTAAAACTCCCAAAAGTCATATTTAAAAAAGAAAACTGAATGGACCCCAAGAATCCATTTATGCTCATTATCATTCAGTAGGCAAATAAATACCCATATAATATATTTGCAATATGCATAGTTTTATTTTGTTATCTTTGATTTTTTGGTGGCTCAGAATATGTATAATGGAGGTGCAAAATAAACCAATTAAAAAAAATGTTGCACTGCAAGCAAACCTTAGTCGTTGTGTGCCACAGTATGTGCAAAATGTTTAGTTTTATTTGTGGAAAAAAAACTCCAAAAAAAAATTGTTCTTCATCAGTTGCCAAAAATGCAGCGCGAGGCACTTAATCCCACATAAATCAGGCAACAGAAAAAAATCATTTTTATGAAAAGAAGCAAAATAAACCACAGCCTTAAAGAGATTCAACACCTTTATTTTGTTATTGGTGGTTCAGAATATGTACAATGAAGATGAAAAATAAACCAATTACAGAAGTGTAGTACAGCAAGGCAAACCTGGTCAATAGTTCTAATGTCAGGAGAAAGGCCACCATGGACACATAGTACCTAGAATTCCAAATAGGCGTTATAAAACATGCAAGAAGAAAATGTTGTGTCACAAGCGCGCGCGCACACACACAGAGACACAGAGAGGGCATACTGTTCCATCTATAATTGCTGACAGAGTTAGATAGTCAAAAACATCTGTGCAATATCGCCAAGCATTAGCATTTCCATATTTCCTTTGGCATTCATCATAGAATCCATAGACCTAGCAAAGACAAAAATACACATATTAGTAAAATTAAGGCATTGTTACATATGGTTTTCCTCAGCCACATATTCATGTATCTCATGCCATAATAATGAACAAATTAATCAAGCAACTTAAAACTTACTCCAAAGCAGACATAAAGAAAGATAAAAATAATTAGTCAAGGTATGCTCAATGCAATATCACACCTTGGACAGCCTACCATTGGCATTAAGCCCTTGGCAGGTGGTTCCCTAAACCTAGATAGTAATAGGGCATAAAAACAACATCCCAGGGCAACAACTTAGCACCCTGATCCTGGACGGTGATGTTTCTCAAGGACACTAGTTAGACACCTCAACAACGCAGCATCAAAACAGTGCTGACCCCACAAGTTCATCATCTTGTTTGCCAAGGAAAAATAACTGCATTGAGCTTTTTCAAATAGTTAAAAAAAAATTTCAAGCAGCATAAATTTACACAGTGACACTGAAGCAATGAAGGTGCAAAGAGAACAAAGCCGAACTATTATGGAACTGAAGTTTAGTCCATATTTCACATTGTCTACATGTGCACCTCCGCACACAACATTGTTGCTGTGAAATGGAGATTTAATGGAATTCCACTTTTTGGGCCACAGTTTCAAAGGAGATCAATGGAATTTCGCTTTTGGCTATTTTATTGGGATGAAGAGCTTCGTTTGTTCTATAGGCTATTTTATTCATTGCTTTTATTTTTCTTGCGTGTAGTTCGATATTCTTCATATGTTTTTCACATCTTATTTATTAATAAAGTAATTTGTTTCTTATCAAAATTTATTTTGATTTAAAGTTTTGGTGTGACTCCATATTTATCTGCCTTGTTGAAAAATACTATACCAAATATATATCTAGCTCCAATGGACTGATAGTTAATTTTAACATCTATAATAATAAGATATAGTCTGTTTCAAACATTCCAAATTGAAATCAGCCCCCCAATTTAGAAAAGCAGAAGAACAACTAAAATTTGATTAAAGTTTAGGTATACGATTCAAATCTCTTCTAAACCTATCTAAGTAACTTAAATGGCTCACAATCCATCCCACCTAAATACATCCTCCCGCCCAGTTTAACCACACACACACTCCACCCATAACACAAACCAAAGCTGGCAGACCCTCCCCATCCCAGGCGCCCCTCTCTCTCTCTCTCTCTCTCTCTCTCTCTCTCTCTCACTCAACTCACTCACACACACACACACACACACACAGCTCCTCTGCCGTCAACCAGGTACACCTCTCTCTCTCTCACGACTCACAGAGTCAAACACATATACCTTGTCTAACCCACACACACCATCACACATGCACACGCACACACACATGCACACACCAGCACACAGAACCTCGCACACCATCGTGCGCGCACACACAACATCAAAATAACACACAAATTGGTTTGATAATTTTGATTTTAATTTGGTGTTCATTTGGGTTTTAATTTGGGTGTTTATTTAAATAAGTTTGAAAATTTTTGTTATAGCTTGAATGTTACAGTTTGGGTGCTTTGAATGCTAAATTAGTTCGAATGTTATGGTTTGAGTGTTTTAAATATTAAATTGGTTTTAATGTTATAGTTTAATTTTTTTTCTTAGGGTTTTATTGAATGTTATAATTAAAATAAATTTAAATGTAATAATATGGGTGTTTTAGATGTTAAATTGGTTTGAATGTTATAGTTTGATTTTCAAATTGGGATTTTTCATAGGGTTTTGATAATAGGGNATAATAGGGTTTTATTGAATGTTATAATTAAAATAAATTTAAATGTAATAATATGGGTGTTTTAGATGTTAAATTGGTTTGAATGTTATAGTTTGATTTTCAAATTGGGATTTTTCATAGGGTTTTGATAATAGGGTTTTTATTGAATGTTGTAGTTGTTAGTCATATTTTGATTCAATGTTAATAATTATTAGTCGTATTTTGATTGAATGTTATAGTTTTGAAATTAGATGTTAATTGTATGAAATGGGTTTGTTAATTGTATCAAATTGGATGTTAATTTTATAACATAGGGTTGTTGAATTGGAAGTTAGGTCTACGATTGAATGTTAGGGTTATTTTGATTGAAATGAGTGTTACTTACATCTCATGGAATGAGATGTTGAGTTGATGATTATTTGTATGGTTTTTGGATGTTAGGGGTTTTTCAAATTGGATTTTAATTTTATTGGTGTTATTTGATTGAATGTTAAAGTTATTTTATTTTATTGTTTTATGACATTGTATTTCTTAATTGTATGAAATGTGATGTTGAAGTTAAATTTTTAAATTGTGGAATTGGAAGTTAGGTTTGCTATTGAATGTTGGTGTTTTAAAATTGAATGTTAGGGCCATTTTTGTAAAAATCATGTTATTTTGATAATAGTTGAAATTTCATTGAAATTGGTATTAATTATACACAATTTATGAAATTGACTATGTAGCCACAACCATTGCAATCGCACAACCATCGAAAAATGGATGATGTTACTATTTTTAAAAATGTAAGTTCATTATTTCTTTAACTCTCTCTAAACAATGTTTTTTTTGTCTACAGTTCAAATGTTTCGTCAAAATAATGTAGGTCTGGGGATTCGCAACAAGTATGAACTTAATCGTGTCCATATATGTAAGGTAGTGTTACCTCACATCACACCCATTTCTCATTCATTTTTATTTTTTTGGTTTTTAACTAGCGTTTTCTTAAGTCATATTTATAATAATAAGATAGAGTCTATTTTGAATCTCCAAAGTTGGGAATGCACAAAGATGGCTCAAATTTCATCTACTTTTATTTTATCGGTTCACATTCCATTCAACTATATCTAATTGGATCCAACAGTTCACAAATCCATCACAACAAAAAACTATCCCGCCCAAACTTTTAAAAAAAAAAAAGCCTTTTTCACAGATCCCAACCTATGTCAGACATACCCATCACTACACGTCTCTCTTTTTCTTCTCTCTAGCTCCCCCATTCTACGACTTCTCTACTCCCTCCCACCACCCATCATCGGCCATCCCATCGCCAACAACACCACAGTCTAGGTAAGTTTTATCACTCTCTCTCCTCTCTTTCTCACCACCAAGTCCAGGTAAGTCACACACACATACACACACCCCAACACAATAACACCCATAGAGCACACACACCCCTAACACAACAACACACGCACACAGTCATACTCACGCACGCACACACACATACATCACAGCGCACCCAAGTGTTTGTGTTATTGCTTCAATGAGTTGGCTCTGTCAATTTAACAATTTTGATGTAAGCTTCAATGAGCTTCATTAAGAAACAGAGACTATCTCTTGCTCCTCCCCGTCTCTTGCTCACCCTTGTGCCACCCCAAAATCCCACCGCCTCAACAAGCACACACATCTCTGATTTTGTACCACACACACACCCACATATTTCTCCCTCTCTCTTTTGTCATCTAATATAAATTCCTTTCTATTTAATTTTCAATTAAAGGTATATTATTCGAATTTAATTTGCATAGAAAATTTTAGTTTTTGAATTGTTCTATGAAAAAGAAATTGAAGGCAAGATATGATTTTGAGAATTTTCTATTGACTAATATGAATTTTGAGGGTATAATAGGTTGAATTTATATGTTAGTGATACGTATTTTAATTGGATAAATGTTAGATTGTTGAAATTATTTGATTTTAGACAACCATGGAGAAATTTTTTGAAATTTCTATGAACTATTTATATTTGANTCAACTATATCTAATTGGATCCAACAGTTCACAAATCCATCACAACAAAAAACTATCCCGCCCAAACTTTTAAAAAAAAAAAAGCCTTTTTCACAGATCCCAACCTATGTCAGACATACCCATCACTACACGTCTCTCTTTTTCTTCTCTCTAGCTCCCCCATTCTACGACTTCTCTACTCCCTCCCACCACCCATCATCGGCCATCCCATCGCCAACAACACCACAGTCTAGGTAAGTTTTATCACTCTCTCTCCTCTCTTTCTCACCACCAAGTCCAGGTAAGTCACACACACATACACACACCCCAACACAATAACACCCATAGAGCACACACACCCCTAACACAACAACACACGCACACAGTCATACTCACGCACGCACACACACATACATCACAGCGCACCCAAGTGTTTGTGTTATTGCTTCAATGAGTTGGCTCTGTCAATTTAACAATTTTGATGTAAGCTTCAATGAGCTTCATTAAGAAACAGAGACTATCTCTTGCTCCTCCCCGTCTCTTGCTCACCCTTGTGCCACCCCAAAATCCCACCGCCTCAACAAGCACACACATCTCTGATTTTGTACCANGTGTAAGTTCATTATTTCTTTAACTCTCTCTAAACAATGTTTTTTTGTCTACAGTTCAAATGTTTCGTCAAAATAATGTAGGTGTGGTGATTCGCAACAAGTATGAACTTAATCGTCTCCATATATGTAAGGTAGTGTTACCTCACATCACACCCATTTCTCATTCATTTTTATTTTTTTGGTTTTTAACTAGCGTTTTCTTAAGTCATATTTATAATAATAAGATAGAGTCTATTTTGAATCTCCAAAGTTGGGAATGCACAAAGATGGCTCAAATTTCATCTACTTTTATTTTATCGGTTCACATTCCATCCAACTATATCTAATTGGATCCAACAGTTCACAAATCCATCACAACAAAAAACTATCCCGCCCAAACTTTTTAAAAAAAAAAAGCCTTTTTCACAGATCCCAACCCATGTCAGACATACCCATCACTACACGTCTCTTTTTCTTCTCTCTAGCTCCCCCATTCTACGACTTCTCTACTCCCTCCCACCACCCATCATCGGCCATCCCATCGCCAACAACACCACAGTCTAGGTAAGTTTTATCACTCTCTCTCCTCTCTTTCTCACCACTAAGTCCAGGTAAGTCACACACACATACACACACCCCAACACAATAACACCCATAGAGCACACACACCCCTAACACAACAACACACGCACACAGTCATACTCACGCACGCACACACACATACATCACAGCGCACCCCAAGTGTTTGTGTTATTGCTTCAATGAGTTGGCTCTGTCAATTTAACAATTTTGATGTAAGCTTCAATGAGCTTCATTAAGAAACAGAGACTATCTCTTGCTCCTCCCCGTCTCTTGCTCACCCTTGTGCCACCCCAAAATCCCATCGCCTCAACAAGCACACACATCTCTGATTTTGTACCACACACACACCCACATATTTCTCCCTCTCTCTTTTGTCATCTAATATAAATTCCTTTCTATTTAATTTTCAATTAAAGGTATATTATTCGAATTTAATTTGCATAGAAAATTTTAGTTTTTGAATTGTTCTATGAAAAAGAAATTGAAGGCAAGATA